GAGAGAGAGAGAAACATGGATGTGAGAGAGACACATCGATGGGTTGCCTCCCGCACGTACCCCGACCAGGGCCAGGGACCGAACCAGCAAATCCAGGTACATGCCCTTGACCGGAAATCGAACCCAGGACCCTTCAGTCTGCAACCGACGCTCTAACCACTGAACCAAACCAGCTAGGGCTTGCTTAATTATTTTAAAATTTTATTTAAATATTTCTTATTTATTTTTAAAAATTTTTTTTTCTGAATTATTTAATTTCATCCACGCGGGAAATGTGTAAGCTACCTGTTTGTCCTCTGATCGGCCCATCCCTCAATCNTTTATTTTTTTTTCTGAATTATTTAATTTCATCCATGCGGGAAATGTGTAAGCTACCCGTTTGTCCTCTGATCGGCCCATCCCTCAATCTTTCCTGCTGCCCCGTATCTGCCCACACCCACTTCTGGGTTCTGGGTTCAGCTCCATCCGTCCATTCGGTGGCTCTGGGCCACGTCCACGGAACCATTCTTAACACTGTCCAAAATAAATCCCAATACACCCTGGANAGGAACCATTCTTAACACCGTCTAAAATAAATCCCAATACACCCTGGAGTCGTCTCCCCGCTGCTCTGCACACAGCCCTGTTTACTATTCTTAGAAGGCGGCTCCCTAGCAAGGACTTACGTCTGCAAGGATTTTAAACCAGTTTGTCAAGNATGAGGATTGACGACAGCAACAAAAAAAACACCACAGCAAGGTCCGGCTTCCAGGACACGTGACTGGCCCCCGACCGCATTTACTTGATTAAACCGTAAGCGGCTTTTCCCTAAGACGACCAANCTTACGTCTGCAAGGATTTTAAACCAGTTTGTCAAGTGCTCGGAAAAATTTCCCTGGTGGTTTTTTTTGTTAATCTTTCCCTAAGGTTATTTTTTCCATTGACTTTTAGAGAGAGAGAGAACCATCAATGTGAGAGAGACACATTGATCGGTTGCATCCCGCACATGCCCCGACCGGGGCCGGGGATCGAACCTGCAAACCCAGGTACATGCCCTTGACCGAGAATCGAACCCAAGACCCTTCAGGGTGAGGGCCGAGGCTCTAACCACTGAGCCACGCCAGCCAGGCTTCTCCTACTGTTCTTTGCCCTGAGCCGGGGTCTCGGCCATAGCTCAGTCCCGTCCGGGAGGCGCCCGACTCTCTTTATTCCTGAGGCTCAGCTTCATACACTCAAAGCCCAGGCGGAGGCACCGCCGACGTCCCCCAGCTTGGCGCCCACAAGCGGAGCTCAGTGTCAGCTCACCAGCCCACGTGCCCGCCCTGTGTCTGGAGACATGTCACTTGTTTCAGCGGCGGGGGCGTGAAAGAGAAAGTTCAAAGGGTGAGGCCAACCCTTCTTGGCGAGAAGTCCCGTGGGTGGAGGACGGGTCCTACGAGACAGCCAGGGAGAGGGGCTTGCAGGGCAGCGTGAAGAGCAACGATGGACCTGGAGGGTACGACGCTCAAGGAAACAAGCCAGTAAGAGAAAGACAAGTGTCCCGTGATCGCGCTCGTATGGGGACTCTAATGAACAAAATAAGCCGATTAATAAAATTAAGTCCAGAGACACAGAAGCATGGAACAGACTGGGGATCTCGGAGGGAAGCGGGGACGGGTGGGGAGAGATTAACCAAAGAACTTATGTGCATCTGTGCATAACCCACGGGCACAGACGATAGTGTGGGGAAGGCCCTGGGGCGGGGGCCAGAACCNTTTACTTGATTAAACCGTAAGCGGCTTTTCCCTAAGACGACCAAAGCCGCCTACCTGCGGGATGTCCCAGTAATGAGATTGCGTGTTGAGAAGGGCCGGGAGACGCTCCTCGGAGATTCCAGGTGGGTGCCTGGATTCACCCCGTCACGGGCACGGTTTCGCAGACACGGGCAAAGTCAGGTGCCATCGGGACAGACGAGAGGTTGCAGGTTTGATCCCCGGCACGCGGGAGGCGACCAATCAATGTGTCTCTCTCACATCGAGGTGTCTGTCCCTCTCTCCGGTCCCCCTGCCTCCCTCCCTTTCACCCCTCTCTAAAAATCAACAGAAAGAATATCCTCGGATGAAGATCTGCAACAGAAAACTAGCTGATGGGTTTCCTCGGAGGCGGCAAAAAGGGTCTCGAATTACATCGTGGGGGTGGGTCGTGCAACTGGACATAGTAAAAAAAACAAAACAAAACCTCACACACGCTGCATTGTCCACTTTACACGGGTGGGTATTTTGGTATGTGGACCGTATCTCATCTAGGCTATTTTTTTTTAATACAACAGTTTTACGTCCATGAAAATTTTATTTTTTGTTAATCACCTGAGGATGTTTTCCATTAATTTTTTTTTTAGAGAGAATGAAAGGGAAGGAGGGGGGAGAGAGAGTGAGAGAGAAACATGAATGAGAGACACGTCGATGGGTTGCCTCCTGCACGTGCCCTGTTCCGGGCGAGGAGCAAACCTGCAACCCAGGTACGNCAATGAGAGACACGTTGATGGGTTGCCTCCTGCACGTGCCCTGTTCCGGGCGAGGAGCAAACCTGCAACCCAGGTACGAGCCCTTGACCAGGAATCGAACCCAAGGCCCTTCAGTCCACGCCGATGCTCCTACCACTGAGCAACACCAGCCAAGACTCATGCAAAATTTGAAAGGAAGACAGGCAGAGGTTTTCTTTCTCTATACCCCAAGCCCTCCCCAGTGAGGCTGGTTTTGTGTGTGTTTTTTCCTTAAGCGTATTTGGAAACTTGGGAACAAAGTGCAACTTGCCTCAAATAGCCACCCTGCAGGCTTGATGAAAACTGAGCGCCTCCTGCTCTGCACGCTTGACCGCCTGCCTGTTTCACGCGGTCCCCACTCTCACAGGGAACTAAGAGACTCACGTGGGAGGCTGACAGTTAGAACCCCGCTTCTCTTGCTTATGAATATAAGGAACTAGGGGGACCAACATTCTACTGCATTTGTTAAGAGACAACTCCAGGGGGTGCTTCTCCTGTCCCATCCAAAGGCCCCTCCTCGGCGCGCCCTGGACAGAAGCCAGTCACCCTCTGACCCTGACCCTGACCCTAAATACTGAAACAGGCTCAGCTCAGCAACAGAGTCCAAAGACTTTACAACGAACACAAAGTACACAAAATACTGGCTCATTGGAAAAAGGATTTTATTTCAACCTTAAAAATGCAAACTGGAAGAAACACCCCTTCTCTGAACTCAAATGTCACGGTGATTTTTACATCTGTCTGCACTTCACCTGGAGAGGTGAATGGTTATAAAATTTTAACAAGTGTGCAGCCTTAAATCGGTCTGAAACATATCCTAGTAAAAATAATTTAGCAAAACAGCTTCTTAAAAAAAACCGCACACACGGACCTTGACTAGGAACTGAAGGTTTTAATCGACTTCCCTCTCTTCGCTTAGTTACTGGGATTTGTAGAATGTTTCTGAAGATCGGGGGCCGGCCACCCCCACCACGCCCCACGGCCCCAACACCTAGTCCGAGTTTCAGTCTTACAGGACTCCCTTCTCCAGGGGTCGCTTGGTTCCTTTGGCGTCCCAGCCACCGGGCTTCCCAATGCTAAAATTTCAAAAAGGAAAAAAAAAAATCCCCGGCAGGACACGGCGGTTCTCTCTCTCCGCGCCCCACAGGACCGTGATGTCCCCACGGGGCCCACCCATCCCCACAGCCCTTCCCAGAGCCTGCCGTGACGACAGGGCACGTGGGGGTCGCTGAGTGGTACTGAGATCCTGCACTGCCTGGTCACAGGGCGGGTCAGCCGTCTCTCACATTAGGCTCTGAGCTTTTCTGCAGACAGAGAGAACTGGCGAGATTNCGCCTGCCGTGACGACGGCAAGAGGGGGTCGCTGAGTGGTACTGAGATCCTGCACTGCCTGGTCACAGGGCGGGTCAGCCGTCTCTCGCATTAGGCTCTGAGCTTTTCTGCAGACAGAGAGAACTGGCGAGATTAAAGCTATCTGTCAACATCTTAAGGGAAACTAAGGTCTTGGGTCCCACTGCGGAACCCAAGGGCCACCTGCGTTGAGAGGAGTCGTAAGCACTGCCCTTGTCCACGCTGAGGCTCCTGGGACGTGCGTTTCTGAGGCAGCGAGCAGAAGAACCAGGCTGCTCCCCCAGGTCCTGATCTTCCAGGATGGGGCAGACCATGCCCTGCATTACCTGTCCCAGGTGCTGCGGTGCCGGCTGGGGGACCCCGAACGGGACCTCTGGCTGCGGCGATGGCGGCTGTGCTTCCTCCCTGAGCCACCCCTGCGGTCACGGCTCCTCTCTCGGTGGCCCGAGCGGTCTTTGCTGTGGGACTTTCGTGACCGGGCATGAGTGGGGCTTGAGCTGCGCCGGTGGGGGCTGTCGTCCTGGTGGGAGCGTTTCTTATGGGATCTCCGCTCCTTGCGTGGCCTCCCGTCCTCCCGGCTGCCGGCCCGCTGCGACCGGCTCCGATCCCTCGTGTGTCTGTCCTCGCCGCCCGGGTCCCCGCCGGCCCGGCCCTGACCCTTGCTGGGCTCCCGGTTGCACTTGTCTAGCTCTGAAATGGCGTCCTTCCGGGGTACATTCTGGTCGCAGGAGGTGGGGACGCCCTTGGGTTGCTGGTTATTGTCGGGGATGCAGGAAAGAACGGCCGGGCACCTTTTCTCGGGCGAGGTGGTGTTGGGGGCGGCTGGGCCAGGCGGCTGCTGGTCCCTGCCCTGGGTGTCCTCGGCCACGTTCCCGTTCACGTTTCGGGGAGTGCACTCCATCTCCGGCCGCAGCGGGGTCTCCTTCGGGGTGCCGGGGGGCGGCGGGCCCCCGGGGAGACGCGGGGAGGTCGCGCCGACACACCCCGCCGACACCGTCTGCAGGATGTCCAGCACAGGCTGCAGCAGGTCCGCGGGCGCAACGCCCAGCTCGTCCGGCGCCTGCGGGTCGTCCGCCTTTTTGCTCAGCAGGATGCTAAGCAGGCGCTGGCGCAGCTGCCGCTCCTTCCTCTGCAGCCCCAGCGCTCGCTCCTTCTCCTCCTCTACGCGCCGCAGCTCAGCCTCCTGCAGCCGCCGCCGCTCCTCCAGCTGCTGCTGCCGCAGGGCCTGCTCCTTCTGCTCCTGCTCCTGGACCTTCAGCGCCTGCGGGAGAGAGGCGCGGCCTCAGAGGGGCCCGGGGCCCGCCCACACGCTCGGGGCGGCTCTGGGCTCTCAGACGCCCCACGGCCTGAGGTGCCGGACGACGGCCTGGCCGATACGGCACCCATCCCTGCCACACCCGGCGGTCATGCGTCCATCCGGGCGAGGTGCACACCCCACGGCAAAGCTACTTGGCACAGCCCCGGGCAGGCATTTCGGGGGTGGCCCAGGCCCCTCTGTGGTCGCCACACCAGGGAGCTGAGATGACGACGCAGACACAGGCCGCCCAGGCCGCCGGGACGTGCTGGGCCAGCCTGGGTCAGTGTCTTCAATATTCACCATGAAATAAGAGCTGAGCTGCCACATCTCAGCGCGCCTGCCACTGTCCTTCCCGGGGCCTTATCAACACTGTAATTAGACAACAAGTTAGGGGGTCGCCCTGGGCCAGGCCGACGGGGCACGAGGCTGCCTGAGCTCAGGCCTGTCCATCCGTGGCCCCCGGCCCAGCTCCAGGAGTTACCAGCCGGGCCTCCGGGAAGCATAAGGAGGCTCTTGGGCCTGAGGGTTCATCCACACAGCACCAGTCATCCACACAGCACCGGGCAACACCTGCCACAGCTGCAGAAGCATGACGCAACCTGGCAGGTGCTGTGGTGCACCCCAGGTTCCCTGGGATGCAGGCTCAGTCCTCGTGCCCCCGTCCCCCCTTCCCAGGACTGCTGGCCATAGGGGGTCAGGGCAAGGATGGGTGACCTGGTCAGCGCATTCCAGGCAGAGGAGAGCAAGGGGGGGG